TTCGTGAATTTTTTTTTAATATATTCTTTATATAATAAAGCAGTCCTCTAAAGGCCGGATTTTACATTTTCGCTCTTAAAAATTTATAATAAATAAAATACGGACTCGCGGCTAACCCAACCTTACCCGTTCCTAGCTGTGCATTCCCCCAAGTTTATTAAAAATTTTTATTTTTATCTTTTTTTCATAAAATAGCTCTTTAGAGGACTACAAATGAGCTTACTGATTAAGAATATCCTAAATTTAATAAGATTCATTCAATATTTTCGCTAATATCTGGAAAATAAGAATCCGTAATTCCCGGCCGGCCGATAGGCGTCTCCACCATGTCACCTGCCGACCCTTAATGAATCTTATTAAATTTACGATATTCTTAATCAGTAGGATTGTCCGCAGGGAGACAAAGATCGATTTTTTGGAAAAAGATAAATATAAATTCATAATATAACTTGGGGAGATGCGCAGCTGCGCAGCTAGCAGCGGGTAAGGTTGGGTTAGCCACGAGATCGTATTTAATTTATTATAAATTTTTAAGAGCAATAATGCAAAATTTGACTCTTTGTCTCCCTGCTTTATAATATAAAGAATATATTAAAAAATATTTCACGAAGCTACGTAACTTCTTTTTATGTAATATTTGGGATGAACAAATCTCACTAGATCTATACTCATGGGGAAATTTTCGTGGTAACATTCTGACAGCTTGACAAGGAGAGAGTATCATTCTTTCTTTGTCTCTCTTGCATTTAAACCAATATATTACGCACACGAATGAGAAATATTTTACATCTGCTCATTATATATGAAAATATAAAAGTAATGCAATTAAATTTCACATTTATTTATAATAGTATTGTGAGGTAGTAACACATGGAAATCTTATAAGATGAATGCTGTACATCGATAGCGTAATATTATGATTTCAAGTCGCAATAAATGATTTGCTAATATATTATTTTTAATAAAAATTTTATAAAAACAAATAAAAATGAAATGAATAAATTTTATTCATTCTTTGTTTTTTTCTATTATTTTTTCTATTATTGAATAAAAGGTGTATCGTATATGTAATAGACAAATAATAATTTATATATATATGTATATACTGAAATTAATATATATATATATATATATATATATATATATAAATTTCAAAACGTAATTACATATTTATATAAATTATCTATCTATTTAATGTATTACACACGATACATCTTTTATTCAAATAATAGAAAAAATAATTAATAGAAGATGAAAACAAAGAATGAAGAAAATTTATTAATTTCATTTTTTTGTTTTTATATTTTTTTAATTTTATTCAAAATAATGTATTAGCAAAATCATTTATTGACTTGTAATCATATTATGCTAATCGATGTACAGCATTCATCTTATATGATTTTCATGTATTAACTACCTCATAATACTATTATAAATTAATGTAAAATTTAATTTCCATTATTTTTATATTTTTATATTATCAGCAAATGTAAAATATTTCTTATCCGTGTGCGTAATATATATTAAAATATAATTATTATATAAATAATTAAATAAAAAATATATATAATAAATAAGAGTTTTACTAGGCTCTGTAATATAAATATAAATTTAACATATATAAGATAGGCAATAAGAGCCAAATCGCGGATGACAGTGCGTTATTCTAAACGAAACTAAATTTTTTCGTTAGAATTAAATACCTGTGCACAAGGCACCAAATTTTTACTTGGACACGGCCAAGATATAAAATTGGAATAATCTCTACAAGAGATTTTTAATTCCATGTATCCCCTATTCCCCCTAAAGAAATAAAGTGCGAGAGAAAAATATAGATCCGAAAGTCGCAGAATCGGGAATCGAACCCGAGACCTTTCGCTTGCCGGGCGACTGCTCTTCCAACTGAGCTATTCAGATCCTTTCGATTCTATACTTTTCTCTGTTATATATATTAATGTTGGTAAATAAACGCCTTTAAGCCAGCGTGTATAAATTAAGAGTTTAACTAGGCTCTGTAATATAAAATATAAATTTAACATATATAAGATAGGCAATAAGAGCCAAATCGCGGATGACAGTCTTATATATGTTAAATTTATATTTATATATTACAGAGCCTAGTTAAACTCTTAATTTATACACGCTGGCTTAAAGGCGTTTATTTACCAACATTAATATATATAACAGAGAAAAGTATAGAATCGAAAGGATCTGAATAGCTCAGTTGGAAGAGCAGTTGCCCGGCAAGCGAAAGGTCTCGGGTTCGATTCCCGATTCTGCGACTTTCGGATCTATATTTTTCTCTCGCACTTTATTTCTTTAGGGGGAATAGGGGATACATGGAATTAAAAATCTCTTGTAGAGATTATTCCAATTTTATATCTTGGCCGTGTCCAAGTAAAAATTTGGTGCCTTGTGCACAGGTATTTAATTCTAACGAAAAAATTTAGTTTCGTTTAGAATAACGCACTGTCATCCGCGATTTGGCTCTTATTGCCTATCTTATATATGTTAAATTTATATTTATATATTACAGAGCCTAGTTAAACTCTTAATTTATACACGCTGGCTTAAAGGCGTTTATTTACCAACATTAATATATATAACAGAGAAAAGTATAGAATCGAAAGGATCTGAATAGCTCAGTTGGAAGAGCAGTCGCCCGGCAAGCGAAAGGTCTCGGGTTCGATTCCCGATTCTGCGACTTTCGGATCTATATTTTTCTCTCGCACTTTATTTCTTTAGGGGGAATAGGGGATACATGGAATTAAAAATCTCTTGTAGAGATTATTCCAATTTTATATCTTGGCCGTGTCCAAGTAAAAATTTGGTGCCTTGTGCACAGGTATTTAATTCTAACGAAAAAATTTAGTTTCGTTTAGAATAACGCACTGTCATCCGCGATTTGGCTCTTATTGCCTATCTTATATATGTTAAATTTATATTTATATATTACAGAGCCTAGTTAAACTCTTAAATATATATATATATATATATATAATATATATATATATATAATTCTCTCTATCGCGCGTCACGCATATACATATACTATATGTCTCTCTACAGTTTCTTCTTTGGATAAATCCATAGTTCAAGAGAAGGACGATCGATCCGTAACATGACACGAGAGTATAGTGTACGGGCGACGCGCGTAACGGAAATTAAAATTCTAATTTCCGGTTGATCAAAACGCGAATACTCTCGTCTCGCGCGTCGATGCGCGTTGCATATTTCAACGGATTCGCGCGGTCTCGCGTGATATAACGCGATATTTTGCGCTCGAAACGAGCGCTCTCGTATGGATTCGAGTTTTAACGCGCGTCGCGAGTTAATTAGATTCTGAAGAACGACCGCCAAAGAGCACCAGGCCTGTAACGACGTATTTTTCCGCCTGACCGAATCACGCTTCTCACCGGATTATTTGTCACTGCTATTTTTCCCTCCATTTTCGTCTATTTTCTCCCACACGTATATAAACACGATACTAGATTATTTTTTCAATTTTTCACACACCAATCCACCGAATCGATCTTCTCTCGAATTGTGGTATAATAATATATTCTCATCTTTACCTTTTTTATATCTTCATATTTTTTTGCTCGAAAGGATATATATTTTCCTTTTTCTATTATTTGGCTTATTTCTGTCGATCGTACTTTTCAGAAAAATTAAGATTAAAATATTATTAATCAATAATGAAAAAAATAACTTCAAGATATATTCGACGATGAAGGATATTGAAAGGAAATCGTCACGGTGCAATTTTTAGACCTGCAATTTCCGCGGTTTAATTTAAGGTTTACGGTAGAAGAATGCGATTGAGACGAATAGACGTGAGTATATAAATTCGTTTTGTTAATGAGCTCAACAGGTGAATGAATATTGAAGATTTGAAGCTTTGACTTTACGACCGCAGCTTGACATACACATACATATATATTGTATCGTCATTCACATTCTCGCGAAATTCACTCTTTAACATCCTCGCGCACATCCTATATATTCGAATCGTGAAATCGAATCGATTTATATCGCGTCGATAAAGGAAGCAAAGGAGGAACAAGAGACTCCACCGGAAGGTGCAGTCAGGGACTCGAGCAGACGACAAAAGGAGGAATCTGGTGAAATGGAGAACAAGAAAGTACGGAGATAAAAGAAGATGCTTTGTGTATCCCTCGTCGGACGCGAAGCTCGGCTACATTTCTGAAGGAAAGTGAAGAAAACGCGGAGATTTCATCGGAAACGAGCGCTTTGATGAAAATAAGCGTTCGAGAAGGATTTCTTCTCTTCTTCACGGTTTCAAAGGACTCGTCCGGTGACCAGACGCGATTAGCGCGAACAGAATCCCGTGTATATTAGATACGACAATAGAAGAGATATATATAGAGAGCTTGAAAATACTTTAATTCTCAAAGTAAGTGTTTACGTCTTGAAATAGAAACTTTATTCCACGCGTCAAATATTTTATCGCATCTCTCTCAAAGTTTTTATTGTATACAACTTTTTATATATTTTTAAGTATATTAATATGAATATTAATCTTCATAATATACATATATTTACTTTTTAAATTATTGATTAAGAATTTTTATTTTAATCTGCAATTCTCTGAAAAATATAATCGCATATAGAGCATTTTCTCTTAGAATTTATCTTACTTTATATAAAAGTTATTATCTTAATATAAATATGTTTAGTAAGTTTTATTATGTACATAATAAAATTTACGATGTACATATTAATATTGTTTATTGTGGTAAATATTTAATAAGAGAAACTCTTACAAAATTCTTCCAATATATTGTTTCATGATTATCATGATTTTCAGGGTATAAATTCTAAGAGAAAATTCTCTCCGTACGATAAAAATAAGCCAAAGAATAAAATATATATATATATATATATATTATATATATATTTGCGATAAAAAATTATTAGATATCCATATATGCGACTTCAATCTACTAGCTTGATAAATAATTTTTGGTAACACTCACCCGACTTCGCCCAATTTAACAGCTGGATAGGGTTGTAGAATAGTTGGTAATCACGAGACAACGGCAAATAACAGCGATCCCTGGTAGAACCTGACGAGAGATTTAATTGGCCGTTAAACGATCGTTCGTTCAGACTCGATAACTGGGATGACTCTTCTCTCTCCGTTCAATTAACGCTAATTACTCTTAACCGTATAATCAATATATATTGAAAGGGACGCGCGCGGAATTGCCCTCGCGATAAATCGATAAATCGTAACATAAGACAATGGGAATGCAGTTCGAGGAACTAACGATTTAACATGTGATTTTATAAATTTGCATTTTAGATGCAACATAAAGATCGCAAAAAGTATTAAAAATTATTCTACACGGAGAATTTTCTCTTAGAATTTACCTGAACAATCATGGTAATTCGGACAATATGCGGTATTGGAAGAATTTATAAGAATTTTCCTGATTAATATTTATCACAATAAAATATTAATAATGTACATAGTAAAATTAATCGGACAAATTTTATCTTCTTGCGGTAGATATTAATATTTTTATCATAGTAATATTAATCAGAGAAACTCTTATAAAAATTCCTTCAATACTATAAATTCTAAGAGAGAATTCTCTTTGTGCATTAACAGAACTTATAATTTCTTTTACTCGGTTTTGCTTTCTTTGTAAACTATACTGAGAATAAGTAGAATCGCCATAAACTATAAAAAAGTCACGTGAAAAATCTGTGGATTAATAAAGTAATTCTAGGATTAGTAAAGTATCGAATCGATTGGTTTGAAAATTGTTACCAGATACGTCTCTCGAAACACTTTATATAATATCGGCAAATATATCACACGCGCAATACCGAGGTTATCGTGATAAATAAAATCAAGAGACACGGTAGTGTCTCGCGACCAGTTAAGGACGTAGCCGAGACACCGTGTATCTTAACGCGAGTCGGACATTTGAGTCTTTATAATATTTCGAATTCTCAATAACGGCTGAAGCAATCGAGTTTATACTAGACTTAATCGATAGATTGAGTTTGAATTATATAATAAAAGTGTCTTTATTTCTGCTCTACGTGATTTGTAAGCAGAGATATAAAATGCAAAGTCGAAATATGAAAAATTTCTTTTAAGAAACGTCCCCGTCATCATTGTCATCATCGACCACGCAAACATAGTAGTATCGTGCTACACGTATTCACACGATTACAACACATGCGCACACATATATCACACGTACACAACACATAAATAGATGCATGTATTGGAAATGTCCATCTCGCACGTTTTACAACAGACGGCGATAGTTGCCCTCCGCTATATTGACAGCGTGCGGGGTTAGATATTTTCAATCAATCAACGTGCGGGTTAGATATTTTCAATTTAAATTTTTACATTCAATTTTAATGTTATTATTTGCAAATTATGGTCATAATATTTCAATAATATTTCAATATATAAATGCCTATGTATGAGTATGCATATATTTTAATAATAGTTGCCCTCCGCTATATTGACAGCGTGCGGGGTTAGATATTTTCAATTTCAATTTTTACATTCAATTTTAATGTTATTATTTGCAAATTTATTGTCATAATAATTTATGTGCAAGTTTACAGTCTGTGATACAAAATCAGATATTTTGCTATTATTTCAATAATATTTCAATTATATAAATGCCTATGTATGAGTATGCATATATTTTTAATAATTTTCTTAATTAGCTTCTATATTTTTTTCAGTTGTACATCAAGCAGGTAGCATTATCAGCTCACTTGTGAGCATGGGTTGGGCAATGGCTAGTTATCATCGCAGCATTCGATTAGCTTAACAAGATAAATCTAATATCAGTGCTATAGGAACTATTTTACAATTTTTCTGGCATTTTCTTATTGCAGGTACATATATATCCAATAATTAATATACAAAATTAATATTATTCATCACACACTTTGTATCAAAATAATATATTTTTTAAAATTTATTTTAAATTTATTTAATCATTTTATCATTGTGATTGTAGTGGCAAGGATCTTATTGCTCAGTGTCATTGCAAGCATCTGGCCTGTATATACCATAATATATTGTGTAATACATTGGCTAAGTATGACAATATAGATTTTGATAGATTCCCATGGAATATTGGAATTTTGTCGGACTTACAGTCATCCACCACATATGCAGCCTACAATTAAAGAACGCATTTATTCCATATGATTTGCTTCCGTTATTGGAATATTTAAAATAAAAATTTTATTAATAAATTTCGATGAAATAATTTATAAGAGGTTGAAGAAACTATGAAACAAATTCAGTCTCATAAAAGGGTAGTTGGAACAATAGTGGTGAATGCAGAAGGTATTACATGAGATCATTGACATGATTTACTTGAAGTTGAAAACAAAAATTTATAAAATTATATTTGTTTTAGGTATTCCTATAAAGTCAACATTAGATAATACGACAACAGTTCAATACGCAGGTTTGATAAGTCAATTGTCAGATAAAGCTCGTTCTGTCGTACGTGACTTGAATCCAACAAATGATTTAACTTTCTTGCGCATACGTAGCAAAAAACATAAAATTATGATGGCACCAGATAAAGAATTCATATTAATAGTAGTACAAAATCCAGTTGATTGATATTTAAAAGAAACAAAAATATATTTCAAAGTTAAGATTTATTTTTTTGGTTGTTAATTTAATCTGTATGCTACATTGGATGTTAATATCTATTCAATTAAATAAAGAAAAATAAAAGAATAAAGCTTAAAAATTATACAAAATGCAGTATTTAATTAATAATTTAACAAATTATGAACTTTTAGAGTTTTTAAATAGTGCTTTCTTCTTTGGTAACAATATTATATTTTAAGTTTGATAATTATGAAAATATGTATATATAGTAATTCATGGCATGTTTATTTTGTATTTAATACAATTATAAATGTACATTTCTCATCAATAAATATCACAGTATCTTTTTTATAATTTAATTTTAATATTGAGTTGTTTTATTCAGTGGAAAAAAAATGTGTAGTTGGTCCCTATTAATTATACATACATATAAGAGTGTCGCACAAATAATTCTATGCAGTCTTTTTAAGATAATATAAAATACTTATAAATATAATCAATTAAAAAACATATAATCAAAATTGTATGTATTAAAATTCAATAGCATATAAAAAAGATTTTTTAAAATTATATATATATAATAAAAATCCAACATTTTATATATATAGTATATATATATATATATATAAATATAAATATATATTTATTTATTTATATTTACCTATCTTTTTTTATATATATGGTAGAAATACAATGTATGAGTTATTTTATTTGCAAAATTTTTGAAAGTTAAACTATTAATTACAATGAAATTATTTCATATAATACCGAGATTCTTTTCATAATAAAGATTAAGAGAGAGTTAGATTTATCATAAGATTTATAAAAGTCATAAGATAAGGTTAATTGCATATTGTATAGTTTATCTCTCATTTTTAAAGTAAATAAATATCAAAGTTACATTGCTTGAACTGGTGCGTTTGAAGTATGTTGTCTTTTTGAGGGATGCAAGACAATATAGTACAAAAGCATTGCTGTAATTCCCAAGAAAAAGGAAATGATACAAATAATAAAGATTATATTAAAGCACTAAGCCTCTTTAACTGCAGGAGGACAAGCATATTGCCATAATAAATTTGCTGCAATATTTTCAAAAAGCAGATAACATAGAAAGATAGATGTTTTCAAAATGTTTGCTATCTACAGCATTGAGATATATAAAAATGTGCACTATGCAAATAACGGAAGCAAATAATATGGAATAAATGCGTTCTTTAATTGTAGGCTGCATATGTGGTGGATGACTGCAAGTCCGACAAAATTCCAATATTCCATGGGAATCTATCAAAATCCATATTGTCATACTTAGCCAATGTATTACACAATATATTATGGTATATACAGGCCAGATGCTTGCAATGACACTGAGCAATAAAATCCTTGCCACTACAATCACAATGATAAAAATGATTAAATAAATAAATATAAATTTACATATATAAGATAGGCAATAAGAGCCAAATCGCGGATGACAGTGCGTTATTCTAAACGAAACTAAATTTTTTCGTTAGAATTAAATACCTGTGCACAAGGCACCAAATTTTTTTTTTTTTTTTTTTTTACTTGGACACGGCCAAGATATAAAATTGGAATAATCTCTACAAGAGATTTTTAATTCCATGTATCCCCTATTCCCCCTAAAGAAATAAAGTGCGAGAGAAAAATATAGATCCGAAAGTCGCAGAATCGGGAATCGAACCCGAGACCTTTCGCTTGCCGGGCGACTGCTCTTCCAACTGAGCTATTCAGATCCTTTCGATTCTATACTTTTCTCTGTTATATATATTAATGTTGGTAAATAAACGCCTTTAAGCCAGCGTGTATAAATTAAGAGTTTAACTAGGCTCTGTAATATATAAATATAAATTTAACATATATAAGATAGGCAATAAGAGCCAAATCGCGGATGACAGTGCGTTATTCTAAACGAAACTAAATTTTTTTCGTTAGAATTAAATACCTGTGCACAAGGCACCAAATTTTTTTTTTTACTTGGACACGGCCAAGATATAAAATTGGAATAATCTCTACAAGAGATTTTTAATTCCATGTATCCCCTATTCCCCCTAAAGAAATAAAGTGCGAGAGAAAAATATAGATCCGAAAGTCGCAGAATCGGGAATCGAACCCGAGACCTTTCGCTTGCCGGGCGACTGCTCTTCCAACTGAGCTATTCAGATCCTTTCGATTCTATACTTTTCTCTGTTATATATATTAATGTTGGTAAATAAACGCCTTTAAGCCAGCGTGTATAAATTAAGAGTTTAACTAGGCTCTGTAATATATAAATATAAATTTAACATATATAAGATAGGCAATAAGAGCCAAATCGCGGATGACAGTGCGTTATTCTAAACGAAACTAAATTTTTTTCGTTAGAATTAAATACCTGTGCACAAGGCACCAAATTTTTTTTTTTACTTGGACACGGCCAAGATATAAAATTGGAAT